ACCTGCGGGTCGCGGTTCGAAGCCCGCCCGGGCAGCCAAGTCCGGGAGCCTCTGCCCGCGGGGATCCCGGAGGCGCTGGGCACGGCGCCCAGGCCCAGGCCCGGCCGCAAAGCGAGGTGACACAGAGAACACGGTGCGGACCCGGAACAAGCCGGACCCGGCTGCCAGGCCTGTCCTGACCATCCAGACGTCCTGAAGGAGGCCTAGCCCGGCCCTCTCCCGCCTCGCCAGCCGCAGGACAGTGTGGCTGTTTGTCTCTCCCACTGAAAAGCGCGCCCCTGCCCCATCCCTAGCAAGCACCGCATGTTCTTTCCTGTGATAGCCAAGACTGAGAACAAAATTTGAGACCCAGCTGTTTATTCAATGAAATAAAGGAATACTGATTGTGGTACAGAGAATAGGTAACCCAGGAAGCGATCAGTATTTTAACAAAGCTGGGACGTGACTGCACAAACCTGTAACCTCAGTGTTTAGAAGGCTGAAGCAACAGGATCCCAAATTAGAGGCCAACCTGAATACACTGCGAAACTCCGTAACAAAAGAAAATGAGAAAAATAATTTAACAAGAAGGAAGGAACCATCATCAACCAGAAAATTTGCAGCTGTAACACAGGGGTTTTATCCAAATTCAAATAAAAACCAAACCTAAGGGTTTTCATTTAAATCTGTTTGAAGGCTGAACCTTTAGAAGAGTAACTTCTCTCAGGAGCTGTCTTGGGGATATATTCTATTATTACTGTTCTTTTTCAGCAGTACTGAAGTTTGAACTCAGCTTCTCACTTAACTAGACAAGCAGTGTACCACCTGGGGAATGCATAAAACCCTTCTTGCTTTGGTTACTTTTGAGATAAGGTTGAGCTTTTGGCCTGGGCCCACTTGGCCACATCCTTTACATGGTAGCTTACACCACCACATCCAGCTTTGAATGCTGAATGGGGGTTTTGAGAACTTCTGGCTTAAAACCTCCATCCTCCTGATCTCAGCCTCCTGAGTAGCCAGCATTACAAGTGTGAAGCCAGCACCCAGTTTATTATTACTGTTCTTCAATTACTTCCATCTCAACAGTATGAAACTAATCTACATGATGCGTGTATTATACAAAATACACAAAAAATACAGCTTCTCCCCATTTTAATCTGACATTTTTTTAATCTGAGCAGATTCTCAGTTCACAGGAATCATTTAAGTACCACTTCATTGGGAATGGGAAGGTCACTGAGAGCAGCCAGGATGCTTGCAACCATATTTTCCATCATTTGTCGTCTGGCTTGGTGAGTGGCACTCCCAATATGAGGCGTCAGAATGACATTCTTCAGTTTCAGCAAAGGATGCTCCCTGGAATACAGAGTGAGGAGAGCTGTTGGAAGCAGTTTGGCTTCATTCCCAGGAAACACCACCTTGAGACAGGGCAGGGTTCACTCACACGCAACTGCACCACCACTCATCCAACCCTCGTCTGGGAGACCTGGGATTTTTGGTTCTAAATGTGCACTCTAACTGCAAATAGACCATTAACACAAACAGCACTATCCATGGTGGTGATGAGACACACTGCCTCCAAGACAGCATAGAGCTTTGGGTTGGTCTAGCCAGCAAAGGTGCTGGTCTGGCCATCATGGCACAAGCTAAATTCACTTTTAATAAGGAGTGGCATTCAGAAGGAAAACTCTCATTAACTAGAATTAGCTGATTAAAAGGAAACTCTCTTCCAAGAGAAAGGCAAGGGATAAAAAGTCAACCTGGCTGGCACTAGTGGCTCATATTTATAGTTCTTGTTACCCAGGAGGCTAAGATCTGGGGATCATAGTTCAAAGCTAGCCCACATAGGAAACTTTAGACTCTTATCTGAAAAAGCAGAAGTGGAGCTGTGACTCAAGTGGTAAAGCACCAGCCCTGAGTGAAAAAGCCTAAGGGACAGTCCCCTGCCCTGAATTCAAGCCCTAGTCCATGCACACATGCCCACACACAAACACATGTATGCGCGCACATGCACGCGCGCGCGCACACACACACACACACACACACACACAAATGTCTAGTTTACCTAGTGACAGAGCCAAGATTCTAGTCCTAAAAGGTTGACTCACTAAAATCAATACACAGCAAACTGGGGGGTGTAGCTAAGTATGTAGCATTTGCTATATACTGGTGCTATATACAGTGCCCTGGGGTCCATCCCCAGCACCAAAAGAAGAAAGGCTGGTGTATGATTCAAGTAGTAGAGTTCTTGCCTTACAAGTACAGACCCTGAGTTCAAACATTACCATAAAAAGCCTACTTGGATCAAATTGTGTATGTGTGTGTGTGTTAGGATATGCCTGTAATACCAGGTCCTGAGCTCAAACTACACACACACACACACACACACACACAC